GGGAAAGAGATTTCTTAGTATTATTTGAATGCAAAAAAATAAAACAGCAATTTTAGAAGTGAAATCATATATAGAAATAGAGTATAATCCATGGATGTTACTTGCCATATTATGTGATACGGCTTCCTTACTATTCAGCGGCGAAGTCAGAAAATGTTTAAATAGGACACAATATTGGAAACAATGAGAGTGAATTAAATGAAAATATAGTAACAGATTCCAATTATTAGGTAGGAGTATAGTTACGATTTTGCTTATAAAATGAGGTACAAATACAACTGAAGTTTTAGAAAAATTTTATGAATACAAGTCAAATTTCTAAAATTTGAGTGGGGGCACGTGCCCTTAGCTACATGATAGTTAAGGCGTGTCTGAAGCCATGCAATGGCAGAAGATCAGAAGATGACTGTGGGTTAAAGAACAGACTAATTAAGTTTACCAAGTTGATTTAGTAAATTAATTTTAGTTGCAAAATAATATATGTACCATCTACATTGACTAACTAGGTTGTGTAATGTGTTTGCTTCAAACAGTTAGGAATGGCTAGTGCACTGGAAACAATATGTGGTCAGGCATATGGAGCTGAGCAATATCATAAAGTTGGACTTCAAACTTACACTGCAATATTTTCTTTGTTCTTGGTTTGTCTTCCCATGTCGTTAATTTGGATCTACATGGGAAAGTTACTTGTTTTGATTGGTCAAGACCCTCTTATTTCTCAAGAAGCTGGCAGATTCATAATTTGGCTTATTCCTGGTCTTTTTGCTTATGCAACTCTTCAACCGCTTATCAGATACTTTCAAATCCAAAGCATGATACTTCCTATGTTCATAAGCTCATGTTTGACCCTTTGTCTTCACATTCCTCTGTGTTGGGTTTTGGTGTTCAAGTCTGGACTGGAAAACATAGGAGGTGCATTGTCAATAAGTATTTCCTATTGGTTGAATGCGATTTTTCTTGTGTTGTACATGAAGTTTTCACCTTCCTGTGCAAAAACTCGGGTTTCGATTTCTATGGAACTTTTCCAAGGGATCGGAGAGTTCTTTCGCTTTGCTATCCCTTCTGCAATAATGACATGGTAACCTGTTTCTCACTTCTTATACTCAATATCCTTCTTTCTTTTTTCTCTTATCATCTTTATTTTACTTTTTTTTTATGATTTTGGTTGATGTTCATAGCCTTGAGTGGTGGTCATTTGAGCTGCTTATTCTGATGTCTGGGCTCTTACCAAATCCGCAGCTTGAAACCTCAGTTCTCTCTGTGTGGTGAGTGTTTTCTGCTGCTAATTTTTCTTTTATCTCTCTCACACAAAAATATTCCTTTCATTGAAATGTCATATTCCCATTTGTTTGCATATGACAGCTTAAATACCATTGCAACATTGTATACAATACCATATGGGCTAGGTGCTGCAGGAAGGTATGCTCTTCTCCTTGTCCCTGGAAAATACATGTATAAATATTGATACATACAAATAAAATATTCAAACTTATTGCACAAACATCTATGTACATCAATGAGGCTCCATGTCTGATTCCCAACAGCACAAGAGTCTCAAATGAACTAGGAGCTGGAAATGCACAAGGTGCTCGTATCGCTACCTTTGCCTTAATGTTTCTGACAATCATAGAGACGAGTATTATAAGCATATCACTCTTTGTTGGCCGCCGCGTTTTCGGTTACAGTTTCAGCAATGAGAAGGAAGTTGTGGATTATGTCACTGAAATGGCTCCTTTGGTTTGTATATCTGTTATACTAGACAGTTTACAAGGGGTCCTTTCAGGTCAGTACATGACTTGTCTATCTCTTTCCTGTTAATAAAATATAATTTTTCATTTTTTTTTATTTTTTTATTGATTTTTTAAATAAAAATTTAATTCAGGTGTTGCTAGAGGATGTGGGTGGCAGCATATAGGGGCTTTCATAAACCTTGGGGCATTTTATCTTTGTGGAATTCCATTAGCTGCAACATTGGCTTTCTGGGTAAAGCTTAGAGGAAAGGGCCTCTGGATTGGCAATCAAATTGGTGCTTTTGTGCAAGTTTTTCTGTTGTCACTTGTTACTAGTTGTACAAACTGGGAAAAGCAGGTCTACCCTCTATCTCAATTCTTCACCTCTTTGTCAATCCCAAATTCTATACACAAAAGTCTCATTCATTTCACCGATTTAAATTTTTAATTTTAATTTTGCTGCAGTTAAAAACACTCACAAAAAATCACATCTAACTTTTTCTATTACAGTAAAAATCTCTCATATAAAATTACATCTCAGCTCAAATTGAAAACTCGAATTAATGAACTGAATGAGGCCAAAATCTATTACAATTTTTAAACTAGCGTTCCAAATCCAAATAGCCCTTCAATTGTTTTGCATATTTTTCTTAAACTTATTGCATTTGGTGTGTTGATGTTGCAGGAAAGCAAGGCAAGGGAGAGGATATTGGAGTATACATCTCTCAGAAATGGATTGGAGGATTGCGAAGAGCAAGAATAGAGTTGTATGAAGAACATGTTTTTCTTGTATACGGTTGTAACGGGAAAATCTTGCTTCAACTATGAGAAAACTACTACTACTAGTTTATGACTGGGAAGTTTGTCAAAATGACCATCCAATAAAGTGAAGATTAGCAAAGTAATTTTTTAACATTTTTACACCGGGTGATCCACTCAGTTGCTCAATTGTGCTGAATCCTTCCAAAATCAATTTTTTAATGAATAAAATTTTTTGAAAAGTTATTTTAGTTATAAAGCTTTCTATCAAGCTCATTTTTGTGGAGCTCCTGATAATGAACATATTTTCGTTTACCTGCTTTGTAGGTTCTTCTATAATAGCCGATTTGCCTCCTTAATACAAACAATATTTTCTTTCCAAAAAAAGAAAAAAAAAAAAAAAGAAAGCAGTTTTTCAATGTCATTGCCACTTATAGTATTTATTATCGTTTTCCATGTGCTTGGTGCTTTAAATTTTGTTGTTGTCTTTACGATGTTGATTTGTTGATGTCTTTTTTTTTTCTTTTTTTTTTTTCATTCTTATTTATTTTGTCGTTATTGTCATTTTTCAGTTATTGACGTTTTCAGGTTGTTGTCTTTTGTTGAGAGATTGACGTTTTTCAATATTGTTGTCGTTTATGTTGTTTTTGTCCTTTGAGTTCTGCACGTGATCGTCATTTTTGTTGTTATTTGTTCCTGATGTTTGGTGTTTACCGTTTTATTGTCGTTTTTTTAATGTTTTGACGTTTCTATCCGTGTTGTCATTTTGTTGCACCATTGTAGTTTTCAGGTGCTTATCGTTTTCACGTGGTCTTTTTTTTTTTTTGGTCTTTTCCGTCTCCTTTTTTTCCCCTGCCGGTTTTTTTTTTTTTTTTTTTTTTTTTCTGTTACTTTAAATTGTGGAGACTTTTTAGAAGTATCCTTTTAAGGTGCTCCTTTTTATTATACCCTTTAACATTAATCCATACATTCTTACTTTTTAAATTAAAACTTGTTGAGTATAGTTTTTTAAAAAGAATAATTTTAGTGAGTCAGGGTAAAATTTGTAATTTTTTCTTAAATTTATTATCATTTCATTGTCGCTATTACTGAGTCAGTTTTTACAGTTATTGTCGTTTATCATGTTTTAGTCGTTTTTCCTATTCTCGATTCCAATTTTGCTGTCGTTTTCCCTTATGCTGATGTATTATTGGCGTTTTTTTAACCCTTTCATCGGTATACTTGATCTCGTTGCCAATTTCTTATATTAATTTTAGTGGTGCTGCCGAATTTTGCCTTTACTATCACGTTGGTCTATAAACATTTTATTTGTAGCACTCATAGTTCTTATTGAACATCTCTTAATAGGTAAAAATGTTCGTTACATCAACTTTTGAATGAAAATTACTCATTATGGTTTAGTTGAGGGACAAATACTTTAATTGCAAGGGAAATGACTTGATCACCAAATAAGGGACTAAAGTGTTTAAGTTTTATAAGAGGTATATGGCCCGTTTGGTAACATTTTTAAAAATGATTTTATTTTCAGTATAAAAGTAAAAATAAAATCATTTTGATAATTATTTTGAGACTAATTCTAAAATTATATTTAGTTGACTTTTTAAGAGATTGTTTTGAATATGAGAAAAAAAATGAAATCATGTTTGGTTATAATTATTAATTAATATATTAAAACATTGTTGATAAATACTAAAAAATGAAAACAAAAAAGGGAAAACAACTTTCAACAATTTTCTAATTCCTTTACAAAAATCATTCTCATTCTCATTATTTTTTGTTTTTGTTTTCATTTTCAATATATTTGCTAAACAAACAGAGTTTACAGACCATTTTCATTTTAATGTCTTAAAAGACGTGCAGAAACATTTTTAAAAACAATCTAAAACCAATTATAAACGCACATATAGTTTTGAGACATTTTAATAAACTCTTTTGAATAAGGTTAATGGGATGCTTTCTTATTCTACTCAGTAATTAAATAAAATTTTACTACTTTTTCAACATATTTTACTTCTCTTAAGGAGTTGATTATTACTTTTTATTGGTATTTCAAGAGGTATAAAAAAAAGTTTAAATTTATTCCTTCAAGATTTAACAGAGAATGTGTTTAGAAAATAGGTCGAGGAGAGATTTTGAAGACACAACAATATAAATACTCCTACTAAGTAAATACAACAATGAAAATACTCTAACTTTATTAAAAATGTCGAGGAGAGATTTTGAAGGTGTAACTCTCTTATCACAATTCACGATGCGTCCAATTTTCCAATTCGAGGGCATTTCATTTGGAAAGGGAGATTTTTCTCCCCAAGGAAGATTTCAACAATAATATATTCTAAAATACTACATGTGGCACCCCTTATACTATCTCATTTTAAGCCTTACTTAGTATTAATTTTAAAAATGTGCCACAATAACTAATCTTTATTTTTCGCTTATGCAGAAATTATGGTATTTCAAAAATTTTCCTTCAACAAGACTCAGTCAACACACCATTCTTATCAGGTTTTCTAGCTATGCTTTTAATTATACAGTCATCCAAGGTTTATGAGTTTAATCTCAAAACTATGTATTTACAATTCTAAAAGAGTATGTGTGTAGTTTCTTCAGTCCGACCATATGTACAACAATCAATGAAGCCAACTTCTCTGTTCATTGCTTTGCCTTGTTCTTGCCTTTACCTATAGCACAGAGTAAACTTTAATGCGCTACAGGCTCAGTAAGTGGAGCTACAATTACACAATCTCATTTCAACATAAGCATGTATCACAACATCCCAGATAACCAAGGCCAATCAATTCGTACACTCCATGCACGTGCATTATATATCTCTAGGGCCCTCCTGGTACTGCTGCTGACTTTTCCATAATCTGGCCACATGCTAATTTCTCAAATCACAATATCAGGTTTTCCGTCATCACCCACCTAGCTCGAGAGAACAGTCAGCGCATTCAAATTCACAAATTCACAATATCACAATATAGTCTGCATCATCACACCTCGCTCGAGAGACTTGTGCGGCTCAATCACAATCACATCTGTCATTATATGAGTCCTTTGAGGACTTGACAGTACCAGTCTATCGTGCATGCTATTTCACTCTGAGTACAGTACACTTGCACTAGCATGTTTTCACAAAACATACACATTAACAATGCCACAAAGATCACATAATAGCATACTAGACATTCCATAAAAAGTCTACCAAACGAGGTTTACAAGTGCTGTAGAGAAATCATACTCTACTTACATGAGTTGCTTAGTAAAATCCGAGTTCAACTCTTTGCGCGTTCCTTGTTCATTTTTTTCTCTCTATTGTCCGAAATAGATAAATTTGGTTTTGTTATTTGAAGATCAACAGCTCAGTTATAGTAATTTGTTGTCTTTGCTTATTCAATTTACGAATCACTCTTTTAACACTTTTCACATATTTAATTAAGAGATTTATATTTAATGTTAATATAACCTCAAGGTTCTAAACCATAAATCGTTCAGCCATAAATCAATTTCTAACTCGAATCTATACTTTTCATAAATTTAGGAAATTGAAAAATTCGTCGATCTTGACGGGAATATACATAAATGATTATTTAAGTCCTAAAAAATTCTAAAATCAACTCTTAAAAAAAGTAGATATGTAGATCTTTCCAACAAACTATCATATTCCTAAATCTGAGCTCTCTGAATATCTCAAAAACAGTTTTTAAGAAATTAAAATTCTGGTTTTTCCTATTTTGACAGCTTTTAGGAAGTTTATACATTAAACTTCTAATGAGCACAACTCGGGCTACAAAATTACAAATGACATGATTCTAACTCCCACACATCAGTAATAATATGTTCTACATGGTAGTAATTATGCTTTAGGTGCAGCAACCATAAATCATGAAATGGACATCTCGGTTCTTGTTCTTCAGATTTCTTAGAAAACGATGCTTGAACTACCGTTATGAGAATATTCATAAAATATTCTACATAGCCTCAAAAGTTTTAAAATCAATGCTTAATCGAAATAGACATTTAGGTCTTTCTAAAAAGCTATCTCATGATTAGTTTGAGGTCCGTTAAGGCCTTCAAAAACACATTATACCAGATAAAAATGTGTCTGTTTTTCTGCAGAATTTTCAAAAATTATGCTTAACTTTAAAAATGCATAACTTGAGCTATAGCTGTCTGTTTAAGGTGATTCTTATGGCTATACAAAGCTTAAGGTGTCTAATTTATGCTTCTAACATGTTCAAACTCAAAAACCTCAAGAAATAATACATTTTCCTACAACTTTGACTCAACCTTGAGGAAGAAAATTAAAGATTTATAGACTCAGCCAACATACTAAAATCTCAAGATGAAAACACTATCACCAAATCACAAATCAAAGGAAAAACATCAAGGAAACAAAATATTTTCGGATTAGACAACAAAAGAGGAAAAAACCTACCTCGAACTTCTTCAAATCTTCAAGAAAATCACAAAACCTCTAAGGAATCTCTTTAGGTTCGGATTACTCAAGGGAAATTGAACAAAAGTCCTCTCTTTATCATCTTGATTAAGGCATTTGTTAAGAGAAAGAAAGAGAGGGGGTCGGAAGGAGAGAGAGAGAGATGAGAAAGAGAGTGATAGAGAACGAGATAGAGAAAGAAAGAAAGAATAATGTGAGAGTGAATTTTTTTTTTTTCAATGCTTTGCTCCTAACGTGTCTAAGGGAGAAAAGTTGGGGGTTTGACTGAAGCTCCAGTCATGCCACGTGATATAGCCGATGGCCCTCTTTTTATTTTAAATTGCAATCTAGTCTCTTTATTTTCTAATATTTGTATTTTGGCCCTAAATATATGAATTTTTACAATCTTGCCCCTAAAACCTTACAATTTAAACCTGAGTTCCTTTAAATTTTTAAATCTAGAAAATGGGGACGTTACATTACCTATTGTCAAAATCTCCTTAATTTGTTAAAAACATTAATGAGGAATAAATTTAATGTACACAAAGTCACTAGAAATTTTTTATAACTTTGACAAGCTTTATTAAAAAGAAAGTTAAAAAAATGCAAGAATAATTAACGTAAGAATCTACTAATCAGCCAATTTACTGCAGCCCATTTATCTGCTAATCAATTCAACTCATAAAGTATCATAATTTGATTAG